GTCAGTCAAGCTCTCAAATTTCCCAGGGGACCCGATGCCTGAAAAGAATACATTTTTAAACAAGCAATTAAAAGAAATAACAGGAAGTTGGACTATAACTTGTCCTCCCTATTCAGTCAAATCAACCCAGTACATTCTTATTTTCTATTATAAATAAATATATCCTTCATTACTCACTCAGATCATTATAAACAGAGTCAGCTTGCTTCATGAGAAAGAGTGGGGGTTTCTGTGGTGACAAAACCTCTATTTCCATGATCTTGTCACATGTATGTTGCCACTGACCTGTAGAATTAGTTCATATTGATCGTTAACATACACAAATTGTAATAAAATAATTTAGCTTTGATTTCTGACAGACATCAGGTGAACTTACTCTGGTCATAAATGTGCTGCCAGAGGGCATCCAGCCACTCCTGCAAGACGTCAGGGGTTTCAGTAATGAACACATGACTGGCAGAGTCTCCATTTCCCGGGTTTATCAGGTTGAGTCTAGTGCCAGTCCTCTGGTGGTCCTTTCTTACCACACGAATACGGGTGTCCTGCATAAACACACACAGAAACTCTGTACTGCATATTTAATGATGGTTCTCCCATTCAATGAGTCTTGTAGCAATGCATTCCAAGTGGTAAAGCTTTGGCTGTAATTTGCTATTATTGCCGTAACCTTTAATGTTGACTGTAATTAAATTAGTGTTAACTATAAGCTTTAAGATTAGAAAGGCTGCATTGCCACAATAGCAGTCTAAAGTAACGATTATAATATAGCAGTTATATAATATGGTTGATATTAGATTTTTCTCAAATTTATCAGCCCATATTGGATACGTAATTGTGCTTGCACATTTTTCCTATTTTTACATTTAAATTACCTTTATTGTGATTGAAGGCTTACTTTACATTTTTAGATTTGCTAAAGATCTACCAGTGCTATTAAACCATTTGTAATATCCATTTTTCATATATTACAGTGTTGTGATGCCAAAATCCACTTGTAGTATCTAAAACAATTGACTTTAATATGCTAACGTTAAATTTATTTAGCCAAAATTGCCATGTAATGCCATTATTGATCATAACATAACCAACAGTTACTGGTTTTTAGTTTTGGGCCAGAATAGTAACATTGGTGAAGCAGAGCTATTTTAGTATTATTTATATACTGTTATACTCTTTATTAATACTTTGAATTAGCTTTTATTTTTATGTTTTCATTTTACTTTTAGTAATTGTTTTGTGTGATTTTGTAATTCATTAGGGGCCAAGCCCCTATTGCATTTGTATGTGTTCTTTATTATTATTCCTCCCCAATGGGAGTCTATGGCAGCCCTATAAAGGGAACATATTTGGCACACTTGTAGTGATGTGCTGCATCCGAAATCGCATAATTCCCTACTATATAGTAGGTGAAAAACAGTATGTGAGGCGAGTAGCATGTCTGAATTTGAAAAACATAGGTGAAAAGTACCCGGATGACCTACTTCTTCCACCCGGATACTGAAGTGTGCATTCGATGGACACTTTACCATCCCACGAGGCCATGGGAGAGGATTTATGAATGGCAGTGAAGCAACGCAACCGACGCTGGTAGGTCATGTGACAGTAACAACATGGTGGATGTAGTACATCCGAATTTCATTCATACTACCCATATTCATAC